ACTTCAAGCACTAAATTAGGCTCCAGCATCCGGCGGCTTAAGACCTTACCTCACGTACTTCAAGCTGCACACCAAGCTCCCAGGTAGGACGTAACTAAATCATGGATTACTATGTAACCTAGTAGCCCAGTATTGGGTGCGTTGTGAGCTGTGGCGATAACCTACAGGTAGTTCGCCCCGATGCTCCTCACAAGTTTCAGCGAGCTTTATACCAAACACTGTGCTGTGCCTCTCAAAATTCATCCCCGAACCTTCGACCAATCCTGCACTGTTCTGCCGGTTCACTACGTTGGTTGGCTATCAGTTGTTCATATATGGTGTTCAGCTTGCGGGACTGACGGTTCCGGAACCGGACCTCGATTTCCTGGCTGTCTCAGTCCCCCCGAAGGAACGATGACGCTCTTGCGCTCGTGCTGAGTGCTCATGGCGTCTTGGAGCGGCTGGAGTTTGCAAGGCTCACGAAAACAATGCATGTGCCCAGCTCCATAGGAGCAATACTTTTTGGGGCATCTTGGGGCCTGTGGCTCTGATGTACGGAGAGCCGTCGGCATGGAAGTCGGGCTGAGGCTCCGGCGGCCTCGCAGACACTCCTTGTACAGCTGCTCCGCTTCTTCGTGCAAGGCGCGGCCATACAGCCTCCTCCCGAGCTCGAACATGCAGTCCAACGTGATCTCCGCATCGTCGCCGAGCTCTCGTCGGAGGTTGGCCAAGCGAAGCCGGAGCAGTCTCAGCAAGCCGTCCGCCTCGGCTCCAGCATGCTTCACCCTGCCCCTATCGTCTGTCACCTGCAGAACCCAAACGTCGCGTCCAGGATCCACTTTTCGGCCGCGATAGTCTTCTCCAAGGTTGATCCGGCGCTCCTCTCCCGTGTCTGGGTCACGGACCATCTTCTGGGCGAGGTCAGGCCTAAAGCATGCTAAAGCTGCCAGTGACTACAAGTGGCTGGAGTGTAGAGCAGCTGCGGGCCCTTGCAGGAGGCTAGAGTGTATCGGTTCTTGCGCCCTTGACCATTCGGACTACACCGGACAGGTTAACACGAGTATCTCTGCAAAACAGCTTGCAAAGGCAGCCTTCAAACAGAAATCAACAACATGACAAGAAGGACTGACTGCATGCCTCGGCACGCCTGCTTTTCAAAGATGTTGTACGCAAGCTCCGTGGACACCACAATCGGAATACAGAAGGCTGCGCGATGGCCTCCGGCGTTGCCTGCGCCCCATTCGTTCTCCACTCGCTGCGACTCCGTGTCCCCTGTGTCGCCTCAGTTTCATCGCAGATGCCACAGCAGTGGCCAAAACAAGCAAGTCCGGCAAAAACTGGACGACCCGGGCCCGGACGTAAAGGGCTCAGGTTGCTGTAGTTGTTCAGCAAGATGCGAGTGCGGGAGCCCCATACCTTGCATTGCTGCAGGCTGATTTCACGGCGACTTGTCTGCGACCGTGTCTATGCTTGCCTACAGCACATGCGTGCAATACATCCGGCAACCGATGCAGGGTGCCATGCAGCGCGAGGAAAGCAGGGGTATTACCGGGCATACGAAGCTGTCCAAGTGGTCCTATTTAGCTAGTTAGGCAATCTGGCGGGCTGAACAGTGTTGTGCCCAAGCGCAGCTGGTTCGTGCTGAGTACAGTAGACGCCCTTCCCGAAGTGGGCCCTGGAGTCCACCAGCGATGCAAAAAGCTCGGCAGTGGTCTGCTCCATGTTGGCCACATTGCGGAAGGCCAGCTCGTTTGTGTAGTGGTAAAGCACACAAAGGTCCCGTTCACCTGGGCCTTCTTGGTCTTCAGGATCGCACAATATTACTGCGTGTTGCCACACGCGCACGAGACCATCCGATGCTGTGTAGTTAACGTCCGCAGCTCATCCAGCAAGCCACTCGAGTAGAGCGAGCCTTTGTAGACTTGGCCTTAGTGGCTGTCAGGCACTGTCAGTATCTCGCTGCGGACAGCTGCGATGGTTGCTGAAACCTTTCAGGCTCTGCAAGACCCTGAAACACCAGAAGGCGCACACTGTGGCGCTTCAAGCCTTCTATCAATCCCCTTTAGTCTAAGGCTCGCACCTCCCAGGTATGGGCCACGGAAATACTCTGAAAGCTCGCCGCGGCCAAGGGCCTGCACTGCGCAGACCAGGCCAATGACGAAAGCAACTGAAGCCGCAAAAGCCGCAAACGATGCCTCCCGAAACTCACCCCTGTTCGGCTTTCCCTGCTTTGGCGAACGAGATTCGCGGGAAACAAAAATTCCCACGTGTTGTGCAGCAGCCTGCCCACTCCACCTAGAAGGCCGAGAACCCTTCGGAGCGGCTCGAAGTTCAGAACCCCACGCAGGAAATCTCCTGACCTCACCCTTTTAGAACATTCAGTCCTAGGGACAAACTCAACATCCAGCTTCGTTCTGCTTGCTATATCTTCCTCTCGCCACGACTGCGCTCTTGAAGCAGCCTCGTACTAAGGGTTTTCTTGAGCATAGAGTGAGAAGCCATTTGGGTAGTTCTCCAAAATAGGGTCCCCTTGAGTTTCCTGGTTATGAGGATGCCGTACTATTTCGGGTACCTAAAAGAGGACCCTAATTTAGAGAACCACCCGTTTGTATTCGAAGGTCCCGTCCTTTGCCAAGAGGGGGGTTGTGCTCTGTCTGGGGCATGAAGAGGGAATTTTTGCGTGATGGCTCGCTGTGCAGCTTCGCCTCAAAGCGGCCCGCAGGTGCGGTCTGGCTCTTGCCCTTTATTGTTTCTGCGAATGCTCCTTGCTGACAGCCGGTGCAAACTGAAAACCCTATCAGACGATATAAACTCCTTCGATTCGCTGTCCGACTTCAACCCCTTACTTGTCCAGTGCCCTACAAGGCGGGTTTAACTTGTAGGATTCGTTTGGGGGGGTTGATACCCTCCTGCTGTCCTCCCAGAGCCTGAACACTATTCCTCTGCTACTGAGAATTTGACGGCCTCCGACGTCTCCCAGCCGGGCGTGTCGCTGGCGGCTTCGAAATCCGGCGCCTTAAATGGCAGGTGTTTGTGTTGTCATATGGAGTTGTATGGTGTTCAAAGAGTTTTAACAGCCATCTTAGCAGGATTCTTTGTGATTGTTGTAAAGGGTCCATAGGCTTCTCGCAGCAGAGCACAGCTCTCTTCGAGAAGACTGCTATCTTCAAAATTGCAACACCGGGGCTTCAATTTTTGCAAGGTTCGCCGAGCTGAGTCACGAGAGCTGACAAGAAGTAGAGGTCACGGGAACATCGTACACGTCACGACGCCCCAGATCTGAACACAGCAAGTATCGGGGCCTGAATAAGTAGAGTAGGGTCTTTGGGCAATATATGCGAGTATGGAACGGGAAGTTCCTTAATGTTGCCAATTTTCAGGCCCCTCTAGTAATCCGCTAGTTCGGGCTCAGGCATCCTGGACCAGATGATGATATAAATCCTGCGCTACCCATAGTTAAGGAATATACCATAACTCCCATAGTGTAGGGTCCTTAAGGTCATGCAGAGTTTATATCATATTATATCATCAGCAGTACCAGTACCTGCCAGAGGGAGCACCGAAGATCCATCCCTCAACAAGCCCGAAGTCTAAGCCAAACTGCTCGAAACTCAAATCCACCAAAGCCGCCCAGGCACATAACAGCTGTCGCTTCCGATTGCATCCTCGAAATCGTCTCCATCATCACTCTCGTCTTCCTGGCGCCGAGGGGTTCAAGGTTCCCGCCGATTGGAGTTACATCGTCCGGTGGTCTACGGGTCTGCGGCTGGGGGTGTGTATGTTGTTCGAGCGATTCAAGTGTTTTCCCTTGGAGACTACCCGTGCAATGAATGCTAAGCTGATGATGCTACTGATGATGACGGTTCACGACGAGGGAAGCAGAAACTAATGATTACGATTAAAGCTGCTCATCAACCGATGATTCTCAAGTGGTCATTCTTCCTGCTTAACTGTTGCTCCTAAGCAGCGATGTGAACACTCCTAAACCCTGAACCCTGAACCCTGAGCCCTAAACCCTAAAACCCTAAACCCTAAACCTCTAAACCCCTAAAACCTAAACCCTAAGCCCCAATGTCTCCAGCTCCCGAAGCACTTGGAGCGCTACACCTGGATGTAGTTCCAAAGCCACAAGGCATCCTACACTCAAAAAATGTCGGGTTTAGTGGGTTTTTTAGCTCTGACTCAGAACCCAAAAAGTTTTTTGTTAAACACTTTTAGATCTCGACCAGACCAAGGGAAAGGGCAAAGATCCGACAGAAGAACACGTGACTGCATCCCAAAGCGTTGAGTGAGGCGCTGCGCCCTGATCGACATCGCAGAAAAGTGCGACACCGAGACAAAACACGTAGCGAGCTTCGAGTTAGGGCTCGGCTTTGCACAGGACCAGCCGAGATTATCCCCTCTGCTACTGCGACTAAAAGAAACTGGCAGAGCCTAAACAGACCGAAGTCCCCACAGAGCCCGCAAGCTCCAATTCCCACCATGCCTTACTGAAAGCAAAGGCACTGGCCTCGGGTGGGCAAGGGGAAATGGGACTAATCAATAGTGCTTCGTAGCAGAACTCTCATGGCTTGTGAAGTTGTCATATGGAGTTGTATGGTGTTCAAAGGGTTTTAAAAGCCATCTTAGCAGGGTTCTTTGTGATTGTTGTAAAGGGTCCATAGGCTTCTCGCAGCAGAGCACAGCTCTCTTCGAGAAGACTGCTATCTTCAAAATTGCAACACCGGGGCTTCAATTCTTGCAAGGTTCGCCTAGCTGAGTCACGAGAGCTGACAAGAAGTAGAGGTCACGGGAACATCGTACACGTCACGACGCCCCAGATCTGAACACAGCAAGTGTCGGGGCCTGAATAAGTAGAGTAGGGTCTTTGGGCAATATATGCGAGTATGGAACGGGAAGTTCCTTAATGTCGCCAATTTTCAGACCCCTCTAGTAATCCGCTAGTTCGGGCTCAGGCATCCTGGACCGGTTGATGATGATATAAATCCTGCGCTACCCATAGTTAAGGAATATACCATAACTCCCATAGTGTAGGGTCCTTAAGGTCATGCAGAGTTTATATCATATTATATCATCAGCAGTACCAGTACCTGCCAGAGGGAGCACCGAAGATCCATCCCTCAACAAGCCCGAAGTCTAAGCCAAACTGCTCGAAACTCAAATCCACCAAAGCCGCCCAGGCACATAACAGCTGTCGCTTCCGATTGCATCCTCGAAATCGTCTCCATCATCTCTCTCGTCTTCCTGGCGCCGAGGGGTTCAAGGTTCCCGCCGATTGGAGTTACATCGTCCGGTGGTCTACGGGTCTACGGCTGGGGGTGTGTATGTTGTTCGAGCGATTCAAGTGTTTTCCCTTGGAGACTACCCGTGCAATGAATGCTAAGCTGATGATGCTAGTGATGATGACGGTTCACGACGAGGGAAGCAGAAAACTAATGATTACGATTAAAGCTGCTCATCAACCGATGATTCTCAAGTGGTCCTTCTTCCTGCTTAACTGTTGCTCCTAAGCAGCGATGTGAACACTCCTAAACCCTGAACCCTGAACCCTAAGCCCTAAACCCTAAAACCCTAAACCCTAAACCCTAAACCTCTAAACCCCTAACCCCTAAACCCTAAGCCCCAATGTCACCAGCTCCCGAACCACTTGGAGCGCTACACCTGGATGTAGTTCCAAAGCCACAAGGCATCCTACACTCAAAAAATGTCGGGTTTACGGGGTTTTTTTAGCTCTGACTCAGAACCCAAAAAGTTTTTTGTTAAACACTTTTAGATCTCGACCAGACCAAGCGAAAGGGCAAAGATCCGACAGAAGAACACGTGACTGCATCCCAAAGCGTTGAGTGAGGCGCTGCGCCCTGATCGACATCGCAGAAAAGTGCGACACCGAGACAAAACACGTAGCGAGCTTCGAGTTAGGGCTTGGCTTTGCATACTGCGACTAAAAGAAACTGGCAGAGCCTAAACAGACCGAAGTCCCCACAGAGCCCGCAAGCTCCAATTCCCACCATGCCTTACTGAAAGCAAAGGCACTGGCCTCGGGTGGGCAAGGGGAAATGGGACTAATCAATAGTGCTTCGTTGCAGAACTCTGAATCTTTTCCGACCACAGCCCATGTGCAGTTGCTTCAGTTGAAGTTTTCATGTGTTGTCTTTTGGCACAGCAGGGTCTCGGCTTCAAATCCGCGACATCTTCCACAAACAACCCAAGCTTCGGCCCGGCATTGCGACTGGGAGGCACAATGTATGCAATTTGTTGGACTGCTGTTGGCCCTATAGATCAAGGATCAGCTTCATGCTGCCCAATCGCAGTTTGCAATGCCTGCTAGTGTTATGTGCAACAAGGCGAGCAAGGCGAGCCGGCTGGGGATCGGACACCGGCACCGGCACTCATGGTCAGGTCAGGCCACCTGAACACGAAGCCCCACCTCTTCGCCGTCTTCCCTCGTCCCTAAAGCTAAGCATCAGATGGAACCTTCTAGCGATCCTGCTGCACCGAACTTCTGGGCCCCCAGTCCGAGACCAGACCCTCATTTTTGCATCCCTGCAGCGAAGTCACGGTCTTCCTAGAAGCCAACAAAAGGCGCAAACGGGTTCGCAAACACCGGAAGCACTGAAAGTGGAACCATTAAACGTAAAGGTCTCGGCCTCTACTGATCCACTAAATCCAAACTTTAAAGAACATGCTCTTCGAGCTCCTCGCAAACAAACAAGCAAGCAAAT